GGGTTTTATCATATGACCCGTACGGCCCTGCTCGCGCGCTCTAATAAAACCATTGGAAAAAGTCACGTGATGGGGGCCGGACGGGTTGACGCTGCGCTCGGTCCGTACGACATGACCTCGAGCCAAATATTTTCCCGTACGGCCCGACCTAACTCAGTCAATAAGCATTTTATCATATGAGCCTCACGAAAAGAAAAATAATTAAGAAAAAGAAAGCGCGCGGATTCGAGCAGGGCCGGACGGGTTTTTCCGGCCCGCTTACGTCAAATGCTGGAAATAAGTTTTAGCTCATCAATTTATTTCTTACAAACTCCATAAATTTACTTTAATTCGGTCGACACTAAAATTGAGCTTGGGATACCGGTGACCAGTCTCACCATGCCCATAAGAAAACGAACGGCCCGTCTACAGAATATTGCAACAGAAGAACATTGCTTGGGCTTCCTGTAAATGGCTACACTATGATCTTTGAGAGCCTGGGTTCTAGCATAACTTCTGATTGGTTGATGATATTATTATAATATGAACGAAACACATTTTAGTTGAAACCCTTTAAAAAGCAGCTGTCAGACCGCAAAGCCAGCATTTTTTTTGTGGTTTATATTTCATGAGCATCATACTGAAAATTGGTCGAGCTATTGGGTATGCATTCTTCTGAATCAAGTTCCGAGAAAATAGATTTGTACAGAACAAATTCGGATTGAAGCACTTCATTTTGAGGATGTCTTCTTGCTTGACGTTGGTACTGCCCATTCGTAACGTCAGTCATAAAGGATGCTGCGCCAGGGAAAATGGTTGAGGAAGATAAGTAAGCTAATATTGTATTGCTACTTACTAACAGTTTAAGTTTTATTTYCGAGTTACAGTTTAGACGGGAAAATCATTTACGGCATATATGTCTTAAACTGCTTCAAAAAGGTTTGCACAACAAAAGTGTGGGTGTTAATGATTATAAGTGATTGATGGTTCTAATGTATGCGGTGGTCATATTTTTGTGAAATCCTCAGTTACCAAATTGATCTTTTATGCGTATATAATACACATATTGATGCTTGATCCCTTATACGCGATCTGTTTACGCATCGTTCATGATTCAATGCAATTATATTTACCCAAATGGCAATTCTAAAAGTTGATTTTAAATTTTGACGTTTGAAAAAACTTTTTAAATTTTGGTTTCTGAATGGACGCATAAATTTATTTGTACATTTTAGGATAATATTAGCTGGTCAGAAGGTGCTGGACGTCCGCACAGAGGAACGTCCATGAAAGACGGATCGCAGACCCGTGTCATTAAAATTGTGTCTGGGTTTTCAAGCGTATGTTTTATAGTAGTTTTATATAATTTATCGATATATTGGTCTGTATTAATATCATCAGTACTGATATATCAGGGTTCGTGACTGACACGTTTATATTTGCCTGTATCATGTGACATATTGATGCGGCAATAACCAATCAGCGTGTAAGAAAATAAATCCCAGGTATGACGTCAAGTGGCAGGGGTCGCGTTGTTTGCTGGGAATGATTTGTGTGAAAGCTCGTAGAATTTGTGATTGAACTTTTGGTGGAGGGTTTTGCTTCCAAATCTGGACTCATTCTTTCACTGCATACTCAGCTGCTTTTTAATCTTTTGAAATTGTTTTGAGTTCCCGAGGTTACTTATGACTACTGTGGCTACTAAAGGTAAAATTTTGTAACTTACATCTAAAAACGAAGTCGTATGCAGTGTATTTTTACATGGGCTTTGATTCCTTACTGTGTTCGAGTCGTTCATGGCCTAACAGTATTCTAGAATCAATGTTTTCTTCCTATTTATAGAGCTAAAATGTTTTATTTCTGTTTCAATAGAATCAGTAAAGCATTCTTCACGAGGAAGCATGGAGGTTAGTTAATTTTCATTCATAGTTTGTCATGATGTCGAGTCGATCTGTTCGATTACTCGAACGGCGAGGACCTTGTCTTTGTTGACTAGTGTGGCTTCATTTTTTGCTATGATGTAAAGCCCGAACAAATATATAAGATGTCATTTATCAGTCTTTTCTTTTCTTCTAGTACTATCCTGAGCCTAAGAAGAAGCGGACACTAGAAGATTTTAATACGTTTTGTAGCTTAGTACTGGCGTACGAAGCTAGACAAGAAGTAAGTAAGCTCTTAAAAGGCGTTATGGTACAATACTGTAAAACGTACCAACACACTCTGGTTCGTGATTAAGCTTATCAGCAGAAGTCTATTCTAGGCTAGTTATTTTTCTTGCTTCTTCATCATTTTCTACTTAAAAGTATTGGTGTCTAATCTTGTAGTGATATTCTGACCTGATTCTAACTGATCTCAATGAAGAAGTACACAGTTTACATCAACAAGTTTACTCGTTTGTATTCATCTTGTTGTAGGAACTCAAACGTAAAAACAAGAGCTCGAATTCAGAGGACAGTGTGTCATCGAGCACTGATTCAGCTTATAGCGAAATAACTTCATCCCCATCCAGCAGTCATGGAGATCCCAGAGAGGAAAGGCTACTAGACGATGTTGACGAAGAATACGATTCTGGTAAAAGTTAAATTAGCTGAATCCTGCATTGGCTTCGTACGAAGCACCGCTTCACTTGTAATCTTTATTGCTCTGAACCTAAATGATCATTCTACATTAAACAACCTTGATTCCCTTGTTCATCGAGAAAAGTTTTGCTCATCAAAAGTTTCTTTATAAAACTGGTTGATTTCAGATGATGAAGCTTGGGATGTAACCACATGCTACTGCAGTAAACCTTTTGCTGGTAAGTCTTTAGTCTTTTTTCTAAACAACAGAAGATTTGTTGATCTTATATTTGAACCAAGTAAAGTTATGCTTGTGTTTTTCAACTTTTGAATATATATTTTTGAGGAATTAAGTATCATGTTTTCTTGAAAAGTTGGTGTATGAACTGAATAAATTCATTGTGACATCTCGTAAAATGACATTCGAATTCGTCGGTATTGCATTTCGTCGTCACGAATCTTTACCTTTTAAGATGCGACTAAAAAGTTAAAGCTGTCTAGCTATTCGTCATATGAAAACAATTTTGTAGTAACACAGACTGTGTAATTGATCTACACCTCGTTTTATTGAGTAATAGAACAAAACTGGTTGATATATTACTGGATGTTCGGATGGTAGGGAAGAATTACTCTAGTACCGCGATTCTTAATAATTGAAGGCTTTCGCTTGACGTGAACCGTTCATAAAAACTGTATATTGTTTTCGTGTTAAACAGAAAATTGGATGTTTCTTTGAATGTTATTTTTGAACAATGCAATGAAATATAAATGTGGAATATTGATAGACACAGCTAAGATAATTTACAGTTGCTTCTCAACGTAGTCGTGTTTTATTCGATGTTTTCATCTTCAACATTATTATTTTGATATTAATATCGGTACACCGTGTTTAAATGTTGCTTTATAGGTTATTCATTACCTTGTTCTACACTTTATCGTGGATTTTTGGGCATGCTTTAGACGAAGGAAGACTGTATTATTGATATTTAGAAATGTAGTTACCTTGCCAGGAGTAAACAGTATAAAAAGTCCTGCTCTGATTTGAATTGTTTTTCTTTTAGGTCGTCCCATGATTGAATGTTCAGAATGCTTAACATGGATTCATCTATCTTGTGCAAAAATTCGTCGATCCAATGTCCCTGATACATTTGTCTGTCAGAAGTGTAAAGATGCTAAACATACAATTCGAAGGTCAAACAGAGTTCGAACACATTCGAAAACTCGTGCTGCCACTGAACTATAGCTAGTATGTTCATTGATTGACAAGATGTAAATAAATACATAACAGAGAGATCAAGGGAGCAAAGAGACAACAGAAGTGTGGAGCCCTTTTATAGGGTGGATGAATATTCCTTGTAAATTTTCGTATGAATAGACAATCATCAGTAGTTGATAAGTTTGTTCATAAAACATTTCATAGTGTGTTGTTTGTTCACCTCAATCTATCAATAACTATGCTAACTAAATTATCATACGTTAATTCATTTTTGATAATGTTCAGGTTAGTCAAGTTGTCAAATTTCTGTGCAAGTTGAAATGTTGCACATTGTAAATAAGAGATATTAATCGAAATATATATTTTATTAAAAAAGAACTGTACATTACTTGAAACACTAACACTTCTGATATGAAGTATGTGCTAATGTTTAGTCCTATAGAGTAGGACAAATACTGTTCATGTTTGTATCAAAATTCAAAAACATCAAAACCGTAAGAAATAAAATGTTTTTACTGAACTAGTGAAATTATCAGTTTTTATTAATAGACACCCAATTGCAAAGTAGTTTTTGGGCTCAAGAACATAATTATAATCTAAGATCGAAATACCGCATGGGAAGGTATATATTTTACTTTATATAGATCAACCCCGAGTATCACAGTTATATATATCCTAAAAATTGTCCATTATCATTAGCTGTTTAAGTTGGTGATCTGGTATCCTGACATCATCTACATGTGCATGAGAAAACAGAATGTTAAACAAGATGAAAAATGAAGGGATGGAGGGGGGGGGGGGGGCTAGGATAGGGAAAATCTGTATCCTCTGTCTTGAAAACAGACCTCGTGCTAGCAGTCTCAGTTCAAGACCTTTGCTATAGTTTTTCCCTATCTGGACTTTCTGGTCAGAAAATAACATGTATCTAGTGATCCTACTTGAGGAATGTTCATAAACTAACATGTATGGGTGGCATTTGTGACTAATGCGTTGTTGGTTGCTGGTTTGGATCCTGCGGTCGTCATATGAATTGAGTTTGATGTATTGTTCTCTCCTATGCTACAAGGGTTTTCTCCGGGTTCTTTGGTTTCCTCCCTCCATGAAAATCAATATGCGAGTTGAGCGTTGTGTGCATAGAATATTATATGAAGTAGTGTGATGAGTGATAAGTGTTCCCAATTAGTGTGAAAGCGCTAGAACGACTAGACAAATAAAGATTTTTATTTTTATTTCATGTTTCATATTGATTGTACATTTATCTCTAATGTTTCAGAGCATAACTTTCTCCGATTTTCATAATTCCATCTCATTGTTTCATGGCAATATAACACCAAGGTGGGAAGGCTTAAATTGTATATGTGGGATTCAATAAATTACAATAACAAATAAAGCTGGAAAGTTGAAAATGATAGAATAAAGTATAAAATTGGGTTGGATTTGAACCCRGGGGGGTACTCCCCTATATTTGCTATACGGGTATGTGCCGCCCTATAGGGTATGGTTTTTCGGCTTTTGGGTCTGGGGTAGGGTATCATTTTTTGACATTTTGTCTGGGATAGGGTATCATTTTTGTCTGGGATAGGGTTAACGATTTGGTCATTTTTGTCTTTCTACCGGCACAAAAACAATAAAAACGTTAGTAAATATTGATTGCAATCTGTTGAAAAACCGTCTTTTAGTCTG